CTACACATCTTTTCTGTGTTCCAACGATCACTTCTAGAAGAAGAACCTCTGGGAATTATCTGAAATGACAATATAAATCATATTGGTGTGTCGGGGCAATTTGATTCCACGCACGACGTGGTTTGTTGTAATCAAAGCGCTGGCCATCGCGCCACATACAGACGCGAACTTCTACCATACCACGTGCTCTTCTGAATCAAGTTGTATCGGATAATGAACAATGGTGAAAACTGTATTTGTGACCGGATCCCACGAAACTAGTGCCAGGGACATATGTTGACTTAGGCCTATATTACTTCATAACACTAGCTGCAGAAAGAACCGTATAGGCCTAAACTTATATCAGTATTTCCATATCCCAAAATGGCGTCCAGATGTTCCCACACATGCGTATTTTGTGAATTTCAAGGACATAGACAATGGGTCCGTGCGCGAACGAGAGGGCGTTTTTTTTTTTTTTTTTTTTTTTTACCTCTTTCGACTTTTTCTGCAACCAAGACTAATAGTCGATGACCATGATGCGTATGCGTCAGTTGGAAACAGAATGGTTTTCGGACTTTTAACTTCCCTTTAAACAAATCTTCCAGGGCATGAATCAGAAAAAAAGGCGAAATTTCTTTCTTCGATCATTATGAAAGAAATATCACCTTTAGGATGGAAACAGAAAAATGTAAAACTTTTGGGAATCGAACCCGCAATCATTGTGACCATTAACATAAGGCATGCTTCAAAGTACAATGGTGCCACGATTTTCGCCGGAAATCTAAACCATTTGGTATGTTCGAGTAGCTTTCTTGTGTATACACGGGGTTTACACTAGAGCCACGACATGAGGCTAATCTACCGCTGCGCTGTATTCTGGGCATTCTGAGAAAATTAGGGTCAAAGATTATTGCCTGGATAAACACACCAGACATGCTGTCATGTGCTCCAGTGGTAAAATGGAATAAGTAATTTTTTGTATCATTTCAACCAGTCCAATACTTGCTGGAATGGGAAGATATGCTCTGAATTATCAAACATCATGCCTGTCCAATATTGAACACCGTTGATAATTTGGACTGTTCATTGGCGTCTCCGACCGGGGAGCAACTGAAGCATTTTGGTGTGTATTTTAAGACGGTTTCAAGACAGTTCCGACTTCGATACAGCAGAGTCTTCATATTGCCCCCGGCATAAAAAAAGCTGCACGCGGCTACGGGGAATATTTGTGTCATAAATCTCTCCATTGTACTTACTTCGTATTCAGGTTCCCGCCATTATATAGATTTCTGCAATAAAATGTGCAATATCGCAGAAATCTGCGCAGAAATCTGCGCAAAAAAGTGCAATATCGCCGAAATCTGCGCAGAAATAATGTGCAATAAAATGAGCGATATTGCAGAAATCTGCGCAGAAAAAATGTTCGAAAAAATGTGCGACATCGCAGAAATCTGCGCAGAAATTTCGATGTGTGGTGTCCCTTCAGGGCCACCATAGTTTCCCTCTGCATTTCATATCATGTCATAAATGTTGTCGTAGTCGAGTCGCGATCTAACTGCATGTGAAATATAATGCACACGTGCTGAATCATAGACTGGCCCCGAGTCATTTGCTTTTCAAACCGCGCCGAATTTGCTTTTGCCGTGGGGAATTTGCTTTTGCCGCGGCGAATTTTGTTTCGCCGCGGCGAATTTTGTTTTGCCGTGGGGAATGTTGCTTTTGCCGCGAAGAATTTGCTTTTGCCGCGCAGAATTTGTTTTTGCCGTGGAGAATTTGTTTTTGCCGTAGAGAATTTGTTTTTGCCGCGACAGTTGTGGGCCACCGTATAATCTAGCTTGTCACGAAATCGTCCGGCCATGGTGACCGTTTTAGCCGATTTTCGGTTAACTTTACAGATTTTTTTGTTAAAAAAACGAGTTTGACAGAAAATTTGACAGAATGGAATTTGTTGGCTGATTTCTGGCAGAATTTTGCAAAAATGGTTATTTGATAGAAAAACATAGCAACTTTGAAAAAAATGGTACATTTTTGTTTTAAAAATTAAGCTTCAATCTTTTCAAACAAACCCTTGCATAATGGGACAGGTTGGCTGGTCTAGGTGCTGATGGTTCACTGGGAACCGGACTTAATTTGTCGTGACGCAGCGCGTGTTTCCTGAAATTTACGCGATTTCATAACATCTTTATGGACTTTAAATTATTTATAATGTAATTTGAACCTTAATTAAGGCAATACTACAACATCTGCATGTGATTTTAAGTGTTTATAGTGCATTTCGAGTAATTCTGGGGAATTTGGCCGATTTTTGGTAAATCTGACAGATTTTTGAAGTGCATTTAGCAGAAATTGGCCATGACCTTACGGTCACCCTGCGTCCGGCTACGTCATTACACCCGGGCATCCACCACAGACCGGCTCGCGAGCTGGAGCAGTGGTGGTTGATACAGGGGCAGCCAACGAGTATCACATGATGGCCAATAGAACACTGTGGAAGTTTTACTTCGTGTTAGCTACTCGAACGCAAAGTTAAATTTCAAATTACATGACATATCAATTCAATCACAGGATATGTTTCGCGTATGAAGGTAAATGACTTTACTAAACAGCAGAAAACAGACAGCGTATAGAGCTTTTTTTTTTTTTAAATATACCAACAAACGCTATCAAAGACGTAATAACAATGCAAAATATGTTGCCAAACTACGGCTTAAATTTATACCCTTGTGGAAGCCCATACAAAATGGCACTCAAATTTCTTCTAAAATATAACTCCATGATGTGCACATTGATCTCCATTTAGACTTGACCCAAGTCTGGGTTTCGCGTGGTCTGTGCAGTAAACGCACGCATGCATGTATGTACCACAGAGCTTTATTAAATTACTAGAGCGCTAACTCCTTATTCCCCGCGGATCAACTTCGTTCCCCATGGTTACGATCTTTCTTCACCATGTTTGTTCCCATCATGCCTTGTGCGATCTTAACCCCTAGACAGTGGTTCCCAGACCAAAATAACCTGACTATTTCTGATGAATCTTAGGTCCGGCAACCGCTACTAATATAATCATTACTTGTATTTAAAAACTTGAAATTCAATGATGATTTTGTGCATTAAGTATGCCCTCAGATCGTACGAGATTTCGACGACGGTTACCGAGATTTTCCAAAAGTTCGGCGTGGTCTCCATTTCGGCTTCGCCTGCTAACGGTGCTAGTTGGGTCCCTAACTTTGATGATTCCAGGTCAATATAAGTAAATGTTTTCTTACAGAAATATCAAACCGATACATGTAACTGTATAATGAAGCGAGTGATTTTTAAACAATTTGAACGGAACATTCAAAGGTATAAATGATAAAGCCCAACCGGAAACGAAGCCGAGCTTTGCAAAAGCGCCGTCATGTTTATTTGTAGCCCTTGAGGTTGCATGGCCTACAATTTAGACGTCTGGGCGTCGGGGGAAGTTGTCAGATCAGGGAACCAGACTATTAACCCCTGGATAAATGGAATAGAACCTGAAAGTAAGATGAGGCGTCATACCCCTCGCGCGGCCGGCATATGGGCATTTTACACTAGGTTACCCTTTTCCTTGCTATAATTTTTGACAGAATGGTTTTTAACCGTAATCACCCCAAGAAACATTAATGTTTTTATTTCTCACGAAGAAAAATAATGAGAAATCATTTGGAGATGGGGAAAAACTAATTTACTTACGACTTTTCACATCCGGTATTTTCGTTCCTGGTTCTCCTTGTTCGTTCACGTTTGTTTTCACATGGCGTACTTGAGAACGAAAATGCCTATACGACGCGAAATTTACCTACCTACAGCCGATGGGTTCTAGATTAAGTCGGGCTGGCTTGAATGCAGTCCGTATCAGCGGTCAATTTAGATTTGTTTTGCAAATGCTTATGTAGTGGTCGGCCCTGCTGTATTACTACTAGTCGGGGGGGGGGTCCGCCCACCAGTTAAGGAGGACGAGAGGCTCACTGAACAAGGCAATCATTGGTCGGGACACTTCTCCTTGATTTGCTCTCAATTAGTTGACGATGTATTACGGTGAAATCCAGTATGAGGGGAAGCTTACAATCAAGTAAACAAAACCAAAAACCCTACAAAGAAACAGAAAAAACAACACTATTTAAGTCCCCAGAAGCATATAGGGGGCCTACATTTTCACATGCTGAAAGTCTACAATTTATACAGCAGAAAGCAAGACTTTCAGTACGAATGTACAATAAACACAAGAGTCTTACCCTGACTTCTTAAAGGCATATTAGGTCCAAAAATATAAGAAACGTCAGATAGCTGGGTTATTCCACAAGGAGCCATCACAGCAAATATGCCTTGCTTTCGAGCTGCAGGAGTCAAGCGTGGGAACTGTCTCCGAAAACAATACTTTGCAAGTGCAATGTATACAAAATAATGTATACAATGTAAGCCACTTCCGGCCGACGGGAGTGTCGTCGAGAAAACGTTTTGTAATTCAGCAAAGTACGGGGCAACATGTCATATGCATATAAAGTTAAATGTTACCTGACAGGGAAATCCCCAGATCCGCACACTAATGAGCCCCTAAAGTAGTATCCTTAATCTTCTATCCGGTTCGTCACTTCAGTTTAAACCACACCCACTGCATGTGGTAGCATTGGAACCATCAAACCAGAAGTTAACGCACGCCCACCACTAATTACTAGCGCCCGTTGGCTAAACACTCAAGTTGTGTTTAACTTGCAGTTCCAATGGGTGATGCATGCTCATTATATTACTTATGCTCATATTACTAAAAATAATGGCTTTACACTTGAACCACCTATCCCTTTTTGGTCTCGACCAAGTTACTTCGTTGATAAATAGGGGCTTGTTTGGTGAAGCCCCTAAGCTAATGTTTCAGTATTCGTTTCGGCCAGAATCCACTATGAAGATAATATATGATTCATCATGGGTCACAATCACACAATGATGTCATGGTCACAATCATTGACGGTTGTGTGAGCTCTTTTTTTGTATTTTGTCGGCAGGTTATGGATTCTTGGCCCCCAATACCCAGCTTGGACGCGGACTGTGCATCATATACGCGCTGATAGGTATTCCGCTCAATATCATCGTAATGGCGTCGGCTGGCAGGGCTCTAGCACGGTACACCAGGTCCGTCAATCGCAGTCTGAGGCAAACCTGGACGAGGTGCGCATTTTGGAAGAAGAGGGTGGGGCCCAAGATGGAGAGCTCAGCCCCGCCCCGAACGAGGTCGAAAGGGGAGGGGACAAATGACCAGAGAAGACGCACGCACTTGCGCACTCTGTCTCTTAACAGAGAAGAGTTCTCGGACTGGAGTAATCGGACCAGTGGTGAACAGACGACGACGGAGCGGGACGGGGACGATGATGACCGGGGGCTCGGGGTCACTGGATCCCCGGAGCCATGGAACGGTGACGCCCCGATGGATGCCATTAGTGACACGAGCTCCCCTGCCTGGCTGTTTCTTTTCCTGGTGCTGTTGTACACCTGTTTCTTCTCAGCGGTCATGGTCATCACTCAGCCTGGTTGGACCGTGCTGGATGGGTTCTATTACATCATCATCACCATCACCACAATCGGGTTCGGTGACTTGCAAACCTCGAGCAACAGTGATGAGAACACCAGCCTCGCTTACTACTTGTTTGGTTGCCTAGCCATCGTCATCCCTGTGCTAGGCATGATTCTCTTGTCTGCAGGCATCTCCATCGTTGTCAACCAGTTTGGTAAGAAGACAAAAGCCATTGAGGAAGTCGTGTGCGGTAGCTCCAAAACACGTGGATAAATCACTCAAAATTGCCAACCTGCCCTGACCGGACACTTATCCACAACCGGGAGACAAATCCAATCTACGGCATCAAGTATTGCTTTCTCAAGCTTCACAGAACCCATAAATGAAGACCAAACTTTTACCCCCTTCTGTAAGTCATAACATCTCTTGGAAACAAAATCTTCTACACTTAGAGAGATTGTCACTACACCAATAAGAACAAACTCTGGGCGGAATAATGGGTGTACAACCCATCTGAACAATAATATTCCGGTATGTCAGACTTAGAGAAAGTCAGTCATCAACGGAGTACAAAATCTGTTTGGCGATTTATAACCGACATCAATCATATTCCCGCGCTCGCAGCCAGGAGAACGAGTATGATTTTGGCCGTTGCGGGCTACACTTACAAGAGTCGACAAGACTATTATCGTTCCCGACGTTATAACTCACATTGTTCGTGACTAATGGCTGTTCCGGGAGGTTTTTTTTTTTTTTATTAAATGAAAACAAGAAAATTGACATTTTAAAGGCGCATGCAGTATTCAAATATTTGCGATTATAAGCAGGAGGCCATGGATCTTGTTTCGTTAATTTAATTTAGACCTTTTTTCACAATTTCTCAAGAGACACTGAGTAAACGCTACAGTGCCTGTAGAGCGTTATACATGTGTACATCGATGAAGAGCTAGCCAAATGTGCCGTACAAGTGTCACGTCACGCGGGGTCGTCTCCAATAGCTTGATATGTCCAAACAATGTCTCGTCCGCCATTTTTACTTTACGATTTACACAGGAGATATAGATGAACATCTTCTAGTTCAAATTTCTCAGACAATAAGTATATCTGAGACTGGAAAATGGGACAGTGCTTCGTAGCTCACTATAGTCAGCAATCAGAACGTGATGGATACCTTTATTTTTCTTTGCCAACGGATGAAAGTTGATGAAAATTGGTGGGCACCGTGCTATCGCTCGCGCTTTAGGTCAGGTTTGTTATAGACACATCACCCCGGGCAACGTATGACCTCGGTGACGTATGACGTGACCACCTCTAAGGCGTTATATATCAAATATTCAAAAGTAGGCCTGCTATTGGTAATTAACTTGAGTGGTATGGGGATAATGTACTTTATGGACTGGCGATATAATCCTTGAGTGTGGATTGGTACGAAGTGTAATGCTTTTGAAAGGATACCGGTAATCAAAATGACACACAATGGGAACAAAACAAAGCAAAGGGCGAAAGGACAAATTGACAAGTCGTGATGATGGGTTTGTCCCTTTAGCTGTGGCTACGAAACGATACTTTTGGCAGGCTGTGCGACGGGTGATATTTTGACATTCTTGAGGCTTCGTCTCTTCGACATTTACTAAAAGTGTGTAACGAATTTGTATATAATTCATGTACGTACAAGGCACATATTTTTTTTCATCGACAGTGTTTGATCTTAGGAAAATAAATTGCGCAAAACACATTATTGTTATCGTAAACATTGATATATTTTTTTCCTCTGATAACTCAGTTGCTGGGACACACTTAAACGAGAATAAAGACTATTTCCCTGTTGTTTTATATCTTCCTTCTTCATTGTATCTCAAATCATGAATGACATTAGCAAGCTTCCATGATATTGTTGTCACATTCACCTCACATTATATAACAACAAAAACACGGTACACAAACCAACATTTCCCAACAACTATATGAATATGTAACTTCTTCGAAGCAACTGCATGTCTGCCTTTGTTCTTGCTGTGGCGCCGTTTGCTTGTCTTCGCGCCATTTACTTTGTACGTTATGCTTAATTATTACTTATGTACACAAAGTGATTACATATTACTCCTGCTGCCAATTTCGATTCACCCGGTTGACATTTTCAAAAAGCTCCGGAGACTCCAAACTGGAGCCGCATTACAACCAAGTCACAACTCGCACAACTTAGACTCAAGAGCCTTGATCAAACCATCACGAATCGCCAGGTCAATTTTAATTTGCTGATCATGTGCAAATCGAGTCCGTTACAGCTTTATCCACGTTACATTCATCTTTCTGCATACTTTATTTTGTAATTTTTGCATTTTCATCCATCTTAATGTTGACATAATTCATCTTTTTATTATTCTTTGTGTATAGGCTCATACTGTATCAAATACCTAACCAATCGTTACGTCATGACTATTATTTACTCTAACTATAAATTTTTAATTCTTTTTTTCTTATGTGAACGGGGAAATTTCATTCAAATTTTAACAGTGCAATGAGAACATATAATTATATTTTTTTCATTAGAGTATGTTTTATTTTGTGTCGACATCTTTATACACTTTGATGACCATTTCACAAGCGACAAATACATACAGGAAGTACTGTGTCATCTAAAGAATAAACCCATCTTAAAAACTCCATTTACTGAATTCAGTTTAGGCCCACAAACAATAAATATTGTTTCAAATAGTTTTCTCCACTTTTTAACAATCCCCGATAAAAACATGTAATGTTAGTATTATTACAGTAGCGTTACTATAATATGTACGACATTATCAAAGAAGTCGGAGTGTTCTATATATTATGATTTTCATAAATGTTTTCATTATGTTAAGTAAAATAAATCACTTTGTGACACAATCTTGTGCTCCAAACAGACTAAGCTAGTCTGGATTCTTTGATTCTGCAAACTGACGCGTACTCCACTCCCAAAAACAACATTTTGAACTATTTCGAAGCAAATTACATCGGTGTAACAACCAACCAAACAAATAAAACAAAATAAAAACCCGGGGAAAAAACGGAACCAAAAACGATCATGATTGTACACTTGCATGGTATTGTCATTTGTACACAGATTAATCACTCAGTCTGATTATAATCAGTCTTAATTTCACAAGAGGGTATCGATACTATTATTTAAAACAAACACTGCCGCGCAAATTATCATTAAAAAAGGAAAGTATATAGACACATTAGTAAACGACAAGAGAAAGAAAGATGATTGTCAAGCGAGTCGAGTGTTATACGTTCATTTTTCGGCCCTGTGTAAAACATTTAATACCTAAACTTGCGCATCTGGGTGTTGGAATGTATTGTTGTTGGTGATTTACCTCTAAAACTTCTTTATGGGGGTTTTAACTTGCGATTTATTGGCACTAGATCTCAGCCAGGTTGTACACAATCTGGCTCGTCAATTAGCTTTTTAGTATAACAAACTGCAGCGTAGCCTACTTGGATGACGAGGCACAGGCGGTAGTATCAGCGCTGGCCACGGTTGAAGTAGACGCCGACATGCAGTCGCCACTCGAAGCGGCTAACCCGGCCATCTTGCTGGTTGGCGACAAGACAACAGGAGGACCACAAATGGCTGGCTGCTCTGCCTCCATTTTACTGCGTAGGTTTCCGGTGGAGGCCCTGAAAAACTTCGGAAGACCTTCCACGATGGAATGCCGTCTAGGGACGAGCTCGTGCTGGTCGTGGGACTTCTCAAAGGTGGCGTTATCCGCAGACCCGTACCGCGGAATGTAGACGACTTTCTTCGAGGAAAAGTACGGCAGGGAATGCCGCTTGACTGCGCGGGTCACGGCGGTAGACGAGACGCGGCGGAGTGGGTGCAGGTTGTCACTCACGGCCTGCCTGAACTCGGAAAACTTGGAGGTAGCGCTCGCTGTTGGTAGCGTCAGCTTGGACGTGGAAGCTCGCTCCAGACTTATCTCCGGATGAGACAATCTTCGGTCGTCTTTGGCCGGCTGGAAGGCGTCCTGAAGCTCCCCCATGCTGTGACGATGCCTCCCTGATGACGTCACCCGCGATTTGCCCAACGTATTAAAGGTCATAGCAGGATGTGACCCGTACTGCGAAGGCCCCCGGCTCTGTCTCATAGCATCAGCGTTGCGGTCTGCAGCGTGAGCGTAGGTACCAGACGGGCGCAAGGCGGCCACGCTGTCAAAGCTCCAGGGTGCGGCTGGGAACTTGGGAACTCTGATGGGTCCGCCTCGCCAGTAGAGGGCGTCGTTCAGCGGAGGGTAATACTCAGCCACGTTGGGGTCCAACTGGTTCTGGGAGTTGGCGGAGGAAGACTGCCATTCCATTGAGACTGTTTGGGACCAGGGTTTCATCGATGATATCAAACCTATGAGGATATAACAATTATGAGACAATGCGGAAAACCCGCGGCCGCGGTGTTGAATAACGACCGTGTTGTATCCATTTACTATACTCATACATATGCATGATCACGAGCCGCATTCTTACAGGTCCATTCACTATACCATACCAGATGCCATTTTTTTTTACTATACCTCATACATATTCATGACCGAAAGCCGAATTCTCACTGGTCCATTCACCATCACGTGCCAGATCATATTTTTGCTGTTTACCAAACGCGCGCGCGCGAGTTTTCATGCACAGGCTAAGTACGCATGCGTAGTAGACTGTCGCACGGTGTCACGGTCTTACTTCTCCGGCGTGCTGGATTCTCCGGGTGAATGCGGCTGATAATTGAGCACGTTGCAGTGCACGTTACATGAGCACGATACATGCTCATGTGTCCGCTGTGCTTACTTTTCTTCGGGCGGTGCTATGGAGCCTACCAAGTCCACCCAAGAATGTGTTATGTAACACTTCCTGTGGGTCAAGCTTAGAGAGGACTGGAGTATTTTGCCTGGGTCATTCCATGGTCTTGCAACAGCGTGGGTGTGTACGTGTGTGTATGGAAGAATAATTAAGAACGAACTCCTTGGTCTGTGCATGGCTCCTTGTCTGTGAAAGGTCTGTGTTCCTTGCTCGTTCATGGTTGTCTTTATTTTTGCAACCATGTGTATCCTTCGCATCTTTACATGTACAGTGTATTGGGAGTTCCGCGCCCTACGAAAATTCTGGATTCGACTGGTACCTTGTAACGTATACATTTGTACATACAAATATCCAAAGATCTCGCGTGCACCCGTACAACCCCAAATGACTCAGCACACAATAAAGTTGGCGAAATGTTCACTACTGCGCAACTTGCGCATGCGTGTTTAGGCGAAATTTCCCTCGGCGGAGAAGCTAGCACGCCGGAGAAGTGAGACCGTGACAACGGGTTACCCGTGCGACAGTCTACTACGCATGCGCTTTAGGAAGCAATCGTTGAACTGTCGCACGGGTGAAGCACGCACGCGCGAACATCGCCCTATAGCTACACATGAAAAGATGGTTGCACACGTAAATAACAATAAGCGTTTTCCCGAGCTGAATGATGCCGAACTTGGAGAATATTGTGGACAATATAAAGATGCATGTGCTAAAAAAAGTTGTCCACAAACAATTGTATTTACAACCGTAGTTACTGTATTGCAAACGAACTGAAATTTTTCGGAGTTTGAGCAATATTTTTCTTCTGGTTAGCTGGACAAGTTTCTCCGAAGATTTCTTTGCGGATGCATACTGCGGGAAAAATCGGCAACTGAAATATGTATGAGGTATAGTAAAACAAATATAACACGGTTTATTTCGGGCGGACAGTTGATATTAGCTCCCCTCGGTATTGGGAGTTGACAAACTAGTTCCCGAGGATTCGCCTCGGGAACTCGTTTGCCAATAACTCGGGGAGCTAATATCGACTGTCCACCCTCAAACCATGTGTATATAAACGAGCGCTAAGCTTCAATATAAAGGTACAACACGATGTTTCTAATTTCTAACACCGCACATTTGAGCAATGTGAAAATGATGACTCTGGCCGTGCTTCTTGTAGTTTGTTTTCTGAAAGATTACAATCCAGAGCTCAACTTTTTTATGAGAGCTAAACGGAAACAAGTCTCAAATTCGAAAAAATTGAATCAAAATTTGATTCTTACCGCCTCGGCATGTCGGTGGAATCGTTGATTCGTTGGGCTCAGAATGCACGTAAGAATTTTGCAAGATCCTGTGATAAAAGAAAATGATGAGTAGTGGGTGGTAACGAACGAAGTAGAATTCATGGTAAGATTCAAGTTGTGGCCAGGAATTGCACGTCTTCTGTTTGCAAGCCGTGCCTGCAAGTTCACGGATAGAAACTGAATGATCGGGAATTAGAGCAAACTTGGGAATTTGCTGCGATGACAAATGTGTTGGGAAATGGCCAAAGAACGGCTATCAGAGAGACAGATGAGGGGATAGTATTATGATGGGGATGGAGGTTAATTTTGGAGGTGGCGATTGTAGAGGTGGTAAAGCAGAGGCGTAGCCCAAAGGGGAGGTGCCCCCCCCCCCCTCAGGTGCGCCTACAAAAATCCTAACATTTGCCGCTTGCCAAAGAAGTGTCTTTTTGACGGTTCTGTTTTGAGTAAAGAAACAGAAGTTTAGTGAAGGTGATTATATTTTATTAGATTTTAACCCCCTTTAGGTGCCATTTAAAAATTTCATTGTTTTTAAATTTGGATATCTTTCCCCAATTTTTTTGACCCACCCCAACCCCTTTTTTTGATTTTAAAAAATTGATTTGTGTCAATAAAGATCATACATGTACATGTAAGCCTACATGCACTTGCATACAAATACATACATGTACATGTGTGTCCATGCACATGCATGCCCATGTACATTATGTGGCAGTTCAGTGACGGCTAGATGAAGCTGCTTCCCTGTTGCATTAGTGCCCTGAGAAAGGGGTCCAGTACCCAGTGTTGTAGTCGAGACCGGATAGTCCGAGACCGAGACCAAGACCGAGACCTGAAGATTCGAGACCGAGACCGAGACCGAGACCGAGACCAGCCCCTTCAAGGCGGACCGAGACCGAGACCAATATGGTCCGAGACCGAGACCGAGACCGAGACCGCTGATAATAAATAACAATAGTCTAAATAAAAAAAACAAGACACGTTATTATAGTTGAAAAATGTAACCTTTCTATTCACAAAGAATACAGACCAAAATTTTGACCAGTGGCAATGTTGACAAATTGATACATGACACCTTACTTGAGCAAAAAGTAGTTACACTTAAGAAATATGGGCTTTGACATGTTGTCTGCACCCAATCGCGACAAAAGTAAAAAGTTAAAGGTAGATGTTTCATCTGTTATAGGAACTCGGATCCTAAACTCCACAGTCACCCCCTTGGTTTCAGCTATGACTTCTAACGGATATTTAAAGATGCAATTTTAATTTTACATTGCCTTATTTTTCCTAAAATAAATTTAGGACTTAACTTCTAACAGGACTTGTGTACTTGATTTTTAAAAATGGGAGCTAGAAAATGTTGAATTAATTTTTAAATTTTTGTCATAGAATGTGGACTTGTACATGTAGACCCACAAGTTGCGAGGTGGTAGCCAGAATGTGCCAGATATTGATTTTTAATTTTTTTCTGAACGGGATTTTTAATTTTTGAGGAATAATGGGGTACTTTAAAATGAGCAGCCAGAAAATGGGGTCTCATCATACACTCTCATGGCAACAGTGAGTGGTAACTGGTAAGAGTGTGTGAGTTCAAAGCTGGAAAATCAGGTAGAAAAATTTACTTTTTCTTCAAAATACTGTCCCAAATTAAAGAAAACATTGTGTGGGGTCGAAAATATAACTAATTTGAAGCACCTCATTTATTATCAGAATACAAAATGCAAGTGATTACGCCCACAGGGGTGGGCTAAACTACACAGTACCCGAAAATGGTTGACCCTTATTGCATAAATTGTTACAAGTTTATACTTTGCTTTATGTGGCCGACTCAACAGATAAATGCCGAACTTGTTCCAAATCGTTCAGTGACTGGTACTGCTGCAGTTTTACATGTACTTTGGGGACTTTCCAACGTGCAGTCGAGTCCAAACCGACCGCGATATATAACAAGCTTGATCTACGGGCTAGCAAATGTTTTAAATAACAACGGTACTGAACGAAGTGAACACAAAGTAATCGATCGAGCTGTAAAAGCTACATATTGCCGGTCTCGACCCGAGACCAGCCAAAATATCGAGACCAAAGGGGACCGAGACCGAGACCAAGACCGAGACCACAGCTTCCGAGACCGAGACCGAGACCGAGACCAGCAAAAAGTGGTCTCGAGACCGGTCTCGAGACCGAGACCGGTCTCGATACCTACAACACTGCCAGTACCCGATGTTCCCCAATACATGTACCGATGTTCCCCAACACCGATGTTCCCCGAAATCCTTAGGATTAGGGTTAGGGTTAGCGTTAGGATTAGGGTTAGGGTTAGGGAACATCGGTATTGGGGAACATAGGTATGCACCCCCTGAGAAATTGTGCTTCATCAGCTGATAGTTGATTAGGTATATGTGTCGCAGTTTGGTACTAAAACATTGGGTGTGCATCATGATCAGCTTATGCTCTGTCCAAGCTGGGAGGATCTGCCGGTTTTTCGCATACATCCATGATGGCGGCCACTTTTAAGTTTTATCGTCGTGGGAATGCCGCATTCATACTTGTTCATTATGTGCTATATGCATGCAGCACTAGCGGGCGCTACTTAATGTACAGAGGTCATTTTCTGTAAATGGGGTTCGCTCGTACCCCCCGCCCTGCAAACAGGACGCTGGGATACTCTGATGTATTCACGCTCTGATTGGTTGGATTTTGCGTGACCTGTGACCTGCGCGTCATCACGGTCATGACTCTGCAAGGTTTGAAACGGCCGTTAAGACTGATTCGTTACACGTTTATTCCAGTTAAGAGATGTTTTTTTTCGTTGGAAAGCGTAATAATGTAGGAAAATCTGTAAAACTTATCTGTGTTCACGTGTGTTGTAAATTTACAATTCCCGTCACTTGCCCAGGCTCCGTTTCGAATCACGAACGGTCGGATTGTATTATGCGACGCTCAAAATGTTGTCCACTTGGTCCGCAATGAAACAGAAATCACATCCGGTATGGAACGTATGCATTTCTATGGAAGTTTTCGGATGAGCATTTGCGCATATTGTCTAACTGCGGTCTTTAACAGCTGCAGCCAGATGCTTTATACATAGGTCATAGGCCACTTCCTTCACAAGATTCTGTGAAGCTCGTCAGAGTATCCCAGCGTCCTGTTTGAAGGGCGGGGGGTACGAGCGAATAAATGGGGACGAAGTTGGAAAAGAAACGCGAATCGGAATGCTCGCGCATAGTACAGACAAGTCAAGAGATCTAGTTTTGTTTTTGCTTTTTTCTTAATGAAATGTGAAGTTTGATTTTCAATCATTTACCTTGACCCACCCACTCACAATTTGGAAGAAAAATAATAATCCAAATTTAAAAACATTGAACATTTTGAATGGTCCCTTACGGCTTTAAAGGGAATATACATCATTTGCTTTTGCTGTAATTTTCAGAAATGGATGGAATTGGGGGGTTAGAAATATATAGCAAATATAGTTACACTGACTTTTTTTTAAGGTTTTGGGTTCGAAAATGCTATAAAAACCAAGAAAAACGATCATTTTCCTGTAGTCTGGTTCCCTGACACCATATAAGAAGAAACAGAACAGTTTACATAATTTGGGGAATTGTAAGGTCAGGGAACCAGTCTAGCTGGCTCGTACCCGTTCATAGGTTTGTAATCGATTGCAAACAAGTGCGATGGTCAATTGGGGCCAGTATTTGAAAAAAAGCCAGTTGTTTCCAACGCTGATCGGCCGATCAGCGTTGGAAATTGATACAAAAATACCACTTTTCTTGAAAATGACAGTATACCAGGTGCCAAGATTTTACAGGATGCTTTACACTGTCATTCACTAACAGTCCAGCAAGGTATTTCAAAATGATTTGGTAGTTTTATTTTTTGATGTTTGCAAATGTTGTATTTTCCCTTTAAAATGTGAATAAATTAGACAATGTGAATAAATTGGAAAGAAATAATAGCGCCCTCTATCATCAAAAGAGGTCCAGCCCCCTCCCCCAACGTTTAATCTTGCCCCCCCCCCCCCCCCGGACAAAATCCTGGCTACGCCACTGCGAAGGCGATGAAAATATGGCTATGTCAATCCTTTTTGGCGATAGCGGTGACACTGTTCGGTGACACTGTCGGTGACGGTGTGAAAAGGGGAGTGGGTAATTAATGTGACTGGTGATGAGAGTGACGGGTTGCCTTTCGATGACAACCTGAGGGCTTGTTCATACTTCATGCGAAAGCGAACTTCAAGCGAATTTCATGACGTAAGAAATGGAACTTTTATTGTGAAATTCGCTTCTCTTTGAAATTCATGTGAACTAGAACCGGCCTTAAGTCTCTACAAACACACGCACAAACAAAATCTGGTTAGCTCATGGGAAATTGCGCACTGCACAAACATAAAACTGCGCGTTTTGACTTTGAATGTGGGGCTCTTATCAATCTATAGTTCTATACAATTCACATCCTTTTTAAGTAGCCGACATAAACCACATATAACAACTTTAATCCATAAAAATGTACATATTTACAATTTAAACTTCCTTTCAATAAGAAATAGGCATATTACATACGTTTATTAAAGGGAAGACATGCCATTCAATTTGCGCTCCGTGTGTTGACTTTCCTTAGGGTAGTGGATGGGGCAGACGGTGAATTCAACTCAAAAAGCCATGGAGCTAGCCATTTTTTAAATACTTGTTTATCTATATATCAGTGTACATGTACTCACGAAGCGATGTCAGCATCTCGGAAGGCCTTAGCGAAGGGGTTGTTCTGGATCTTCAGCTGAGTGATCTGCTCGCTGTGGTAGGCCGTGACGGCAATGAAGGCAGTCTCCTCAAATTCGAAGCATGATGGGCGGCTGCCGCCAACAGCAGCCGGCAGCTGACGGTAGTGGGGAACACCGCCCTCTGTCGGCAGGTTGGGGTCGGAGCAAGGCGCCGCAATACCCCTCACGTTGGCCGATGAACATCTGAGCTGGGTTATAATGATGCGCGGAGTGTATCTGTGCATCGAATGGAGGACAGTCTGTAGAATTGGAGAAGGAAACAGTAATTATTTCGTCTTCCTTATATCCCCAGAGTTTTTGGTGTAACATTAAAAGTCATCATGCCACCTGTTACGTCAACTAGACATCCAAGCGTCTCTCATGTTTGTTTTTTCCCCATGTTTGTTTTTTCCTCAGTGATTTTTCCCCCATATTTTATACAGTGGTGCCAACATCTTAAATAAAACCCACCCATTTTGCAACTGATAGACCATAGATTTGTTTGTTTGCTAAATTTGTTACTTTTTTGTGTTTTATTATGTTTTGTTTGTCGGCGTCACGTGACCACAACATACGTTTTTGTAAATACATGGTCAAAAGTTAAACAATGAAATGTTTGACTTTGGTTCAGATAGTGGCACAGTGCCAACTCACTAGCGTACCGTAACTTATAGTATACGTCTACCAGAGCATTAGTCACTAAAATCGATTAGACTGAAGGGCCAGTGTTGAATATCTGTTAAGCAAAACTTAAAGTATTTTAAGAGTATACTACCAACGCATACGTTTAATTAAAAAGGGCTCTAAGGGCAATTATGTAACTTGTTGCTTCTTTTCAGGAAAAAAGATTGCTTCAAAATTTATAGCAAGTATAACAAAGGCTTTCAAATACGAGTTGTCTATTTGTTCCGCGAATCTTATATTTAAACAAAAATTGACGTCAAAGTATATATTAAATATTAAAATACTAGACTTTGTTGGAAAGTGAGTGCTTACCTCACTTAAAAAAACCTCTTGTATTAAAAACACGAACGACGTTTCATTCATTCAAGAATTATGTATTTACAATACAAGAAGAAAAAGCTATGACGCATTTGGTATCGTTTCGTCTATTCTTTCCTTTACCACCTAAGCTTTAAACAAAAAAATACTTTTAGAGACAGCCTTACGCATTTGTCGTGGAATTAGTTCAATAATAATACTTCACGCCAACACGAATTCGAATCAAATTTGACTCATGAATCATTCGCGGTGAAATGTTAACTGATGTGACTTTGCATGGTGCGAAATCTTGAACTGGCGGCCAAATTCGCGTTCGTTTTCGTACCAGGCATAAACCGGCCTGTGCCTTTATAGGTCAATGGTCACTTACGTTTGTCCCTCCAGTTTCCTTGTTGTTGGTTATCTTGAGTTTAGCGAAGGATACTCTGTCCTGCATCCAGAAAGCCCCTAAGCTAGGCGAGTCAGGGTGTTCAAAGAGCTTGTTAGGGGGCTCGGCGTCTGCCTTGCCTACTGGCACCCACTTGCCATTGATGAACTTGTAGCGACGACGATCGCTGGCGTCCAGTTCCATCTGTACGCGATACAGGGTCGTGGGGTCCATACCCAGCATTGTAATCACGACACAAGGGAACATGCGTCTGTAAGCGATGACAAATAAAGGGATGAGTCAAGTTCAGTTAGTGGTAGTTACACAGTTATCTACTATTGCTTACCACACAGCCGTGTTTTGCCGAATGGGGGGGGGTCAAACTTTGGGCAGCCATTATGGCAAAAGAAAGACATAACTGTTAACATTGTTATAAGCACCGACCATGATTGTAACACTGAATAATGATCGAATTCGCCATAAAAACTTTATGAAGGTCGAGATACCTTCCATCGTCAATACTGAGGTATAAATGCACTGATTGAGGCAAAACATATTGAAACAACGGTTGAATTATTATTAACTTTTACCATAAGAAAAGAAACGTCTAGACTGCCTTCCGTGGTCATGGTGCTCGGCTGGTTGATCATTACATGCATGGGTTGCAATGAGACTGAGTTATAAGCAAATCATTTTAAAGATCCAATGGTTTCTTAAGCCTGTTTCCCAAACTACCTGATCGTGGGTCGGGAACAGTTGCCACATTCAAAAGTAGAACATGACGGAGCAAAGCCAGGCTCTCGTCCAAGCGCATAGGCATGACGCCCAAATAGGCTTTCAATGCAGAATGACATTTTTCGGAAGGCTTTTAGTGTTATATATTTAAGGATACGAGTAATTCAAACTTCAGTATGAATTAATTATGAGTAATGACTATCATGACGTATCAAGCCATATTGGTCACACACCCCTGAAAATTGTACCAACCAGAGGTGTATATAGGCATGCACAAAATGGAATGAATGAGATGATTTGCCTTGGAAAAACAATGCACGTTGAAATATCTTGTGGTTATATCACAATAGAATGTTACAGGACGTTGGAGAATGGCAAACCTAAAAGTGCCTATTTTTAAGGTGTTTTAAATTGTGTAAAATTGTTTATGGTATAAGCTTTTCAAAATGTTTCGACGAAGTTTCGTTTTCTTTTCAGGCAAAACTGAACAGTAACAAACTTATAAATATGAAATCATTTCACACTGAAAACAACAGCTGGGCTTGTGACTTGACTCGGGACTGAATGACTTGCGACTGACTTGTTAGGACTTTCTGAGAACTTGAACATATCTCTGATAGGTAATCTCCGCCTTTGTAATGCATCCCTACAGGACAAAATGTTGTAGCTTGCCAAAGTGACAAGCCATATCATTAGGACGAAACCTTATGAAACTTGCCAGAATATTACGACTTTGTTTGTTTGTTCTTTGCACCTGGAAACTAAAATTCATACAAAACTGTCACGGATAAAAAAAAATTATACTGTTTAAAAGGTAGCCCGCATTTACCTCCCGATACGATTAACGATCATTTCGGTACCGCATTTGTTGAACATTTTCCAGAGTTTGGAGTTCTCCAAGGTAACCTGGATACCATCCACGCATTTGGAGATAGGCTGGTCAGCGGTCTCCATGTCAACAGACTCCATGCCGTCTTTTCCCGGTGTGGGATCCACGTCTTTGATGGAGGGATGTTGGACGGGACACGGGAGATCTGTCAGCATGTAGTCCGCACCGAGGAGAAATCGTCGTTCCAAGGGACGTCCGTGGCTCTCATCGGGGTACCAGCCGATCCCTGCCTTCTGCTTGCTGCCCGAGCCGGAGATCCCTTCGTCGGGGTACAAGTCGCCCGTACATCTAACCTTCGGACGGACCGACCGCTGGCCGACGATATTGAGATTGGTCAAGGGGAAACCCTGGCGGGCAACCGGCGGCGACGACGGGGGATGAGCTCCCGCCAACCCACCCTCCACGTCGTCGTGCATCGAGATTCCCCGCAAGAGCGAGGCAGTTCGGTGAACGAGAGACTTATCCGTGGAATCCGATAGCGTGGATTCACTGGGGCCGGCGGGGCCGCCGTTATAAGACTCCGTATCTACTGACCCCGTACCTAGTGGCTTCAGCCCGGACGAGTGGCTGTAGATTTCAGCCGTTTGGCGGCGGTCTCGATCGTCTTTGTCAATCTCGGAGGAAGTCGCTATCAAAGACTGAATAGAAAACGCCTTTGCGTTTTGTGACAGCTCCATAATTGCACCTATCCCACAGACGAAAATAGTTCCAGTGTCCGAATGTTGTCTTAGTTTTTATGCCGAAGATCAAAATGATCTCTTGATGTGTCCCGTCTCGTTTCTGTACAATAATTACACTAAATAGTCCAATACTTTCCTGCTTTGTGTCGGCCAGTGTAATCCAGTGATATATTTAGCCTCATACCTCATTATGATGTCTTATATCTTTCTGTAGAGGTTCCTGCCTTCATTATCACGGGCCGTGAGATAGGAAGCCACCATTATGTAGGCGAAACCCTACACCTAAAACTTTGGTTTCGCAATCATCCGGGTCGGTAAACTCACACAAGATGTTGTCACGCTAGTGGCGTAGCTAAGGGTAAACTGACGTCATCGTTTTGACGAAGTGACGAGCATGCGCCCACCACCGGCAGATTTAAAAATTGTCCAAAGGGGAGGGGGAGGGCGGTCATCCTTTGGGTCGTCCGATGTGAGATCATGTTCAGCGTATTACAGCACCGACGTCGGTTTATTGTACTGATGACAGGGCGTCATGGCCTGTGTCAGTGTTTGCTCGAAGTGGTGTGGGGACGTTTTTCGGTGCTAGTGTGGAGGATTTTTTGGCAGCCCAAGGAGGGGGGAGGCGGTCATCCTTTGGGCGTGAGACCCGAGATCATGTTGAGCCATTATAGCATCGACGTCGGTTTATTGTACTGATGATAGGGCGTCATCGCCTGTGTCATTTTTCGTTCGGAGGGGGGGGGAGGAGGCGTTTTTCGACGTTCGGTCGGGGGGAGTTTCTCGGCAGCCCAAGGAGGGGGCGGCAGTCATTCTTTTGGGCGTACGTGAGACCCGAGATCATGTTGAGCGCATTGTAGCACCGTCAGTTTATTGTTATCAGTCATGTTTACGCTCGGATGGTTGGGGCGTTTATTGACGCTTGGAGTGGGGGTGGGGGCGTTTTTCGGCGGCCTATAAGGAGCAAATCACGATTTCGTATAAATTTCTCGGGGCAAAACATGAAAAGATATATACCTAATACAATACCCCATTTTCGTCCGTCAAAACAGAAAATTTAGACCAACACAGGTGCGTGAAGGTTTATATTACACAGATTCGTCACCTCATCAAAACGCACTACACATGAAACATTTAAGCGACGAATCGAGATTCGCCACTTCGAGATTCGTCACTTCGTCAAAACGAAAACCTGAGTTGACAAACATTCGGCACTTCGTGTAATTATCGTAATAACAAATGATGCAATTGTGTGTCTTGCCGGATTATGTGGGAACATAATCGCCGGATTATGTGGGAACATAATCAGATCTAAGAATTTTCCAAAGATCCCAAATTGCTTTAAAAAAAGCTGGGTTAGGCTGATTCGTCACTTCGTCAACGGTAACGGGGTTCGAGGCCTGTTCTCCCTCCTTACCTACTCGATCAGAATTGGAGAAGAAAAATAAGCTTTGTCGAATATTAAACTCAAGTCCATCTTGAGTCAATTAAATGTCCCCAGTCATAAGTAAATCACATGTCCGGCAATTTACAAAGGGATGAACAATTACGAAGGAACGCCTTTGTCTCGGCTTAGGCTTATTGGAATAACTTGAGGAGTTGACTTCAGACTTGATAACTTAAGTCTTGTGGTGGACTTGTAATGACTTTTGATAGACGCGACATCACTGCAAAACTGTAACCGAACCCATGCACCCTCCAGAAACTGAGGTTCTCTGAACCCTCCTTTCGCATTTCCGCCACACTTTCAAGCATGACCTGAGCATTATAAGATGCCGAGACATTCTGGGCCGGCGATTTCGATTTTTGTCTTGAGCTTAATCTACCATTTCGATCCTGCACGACTCCCTAAATTTCCATGTCGATATCGAGTTTGTTTTTCTGTTCGTTTTAGATTGCATGGGGATGTTTCCAAACTTCTACTTTTTACTGGAGATTTCTTAACGAGCCACGTTTCCACAGGGAATACATACATTTTTGGGGGGAAATAATGAGAAACAGTAGTCAAACCCAAGAATCCCAACATGCGCACTGACGTTAATGATGGCTATAAATTTAACTAGAGATTCGCGTTTGTTGTTACAAACGCAGAGTGGTCGGGTAGACAACTATTTTATGAAACACTGTCCAGTTAAGTTATAAATATTTTTATCAACACAGGATCACGAAATTTATTAAATCCTTTCCAGGACAATTAATTAATTTGTTTAAAAAAATGCATCTTTAACGGTGTGATAAATTTCAGTAAACATTCTGTGTACACATACAAGTTATTTCTGGCTTGATAACGTCATTAGTAAAAAAAACGGGAAGTGAATACTGATTTAGTTCGGAGTGGATGTTCATTGTGAAGTTAAATAACTATGAAAATTTGGAAAATTTTGGTACGTATTTATAACACCGAACTTCCGGTTTGATGACGTCACAGTGTTTGGAAGCAAAAGGTGAACAATGTAATGGTATCGTTATTTGGGCTAAGATATACGACATGGATCAAATGATAAATGTAAAATATGATCGTTGGCAAATTCTCATAGAAGTAACTTCCGGTCTGATGACGTCATGAATTTGAAACCTTGCCAAGTTATCTGTGGTTAATCAAATAATATCAAGGGGCGATTTGGTAAAATTTGAACCTATGGTTTTAAAATTAAACAAAAGACACTATTTTATGTGCCGCGAGGGGGCGTTCTTTCAGATGATGACGTCATCACATTGTTTTTTATGTGTCTGGCATTCCTCACTAAACACTTTCATAACATATATGTCTGTAGTAAAATGCTTCCGCTTTTGAGTTATATTCAGTTTTTATTGCACTTTCGGTAACACCGGAAGTATGGTCAAGCGGTTTTGTGTCCGACACGAAATGTTTCTCACGGCATAGTTGACAACCTCACGAAAAAAACGAATTCGATTATCTATTTAGTTCAAAAGATATAGCGCAAACTATTTTGTCAAAATTTGCCCTTAAAGATATAGTCCATCATTTGTAATTTGTGCATTTTGTTCGTTTGAAGCAACAAAAGTGTTCAAAATCTAATGAAGGATACTGAACAACTAACCTGATGAAGTTTCAGCTCAGCTTCAGCTGTATATTCCGAGAAAAAATGGCATTCTAGGATCTCAATTTCAAATCAAAAGTTAATCTCGGGACAACAGACAGCAATAAACTGAGTACACAATCACTTGGCTTGAGAAAGTCCACAGGAGTGGATGAAAGCTTGCCCACTAATTTTCAGGTTGGTAGAAGCTTAAACTACATCATGTACATGTTACAAACATCATTGATTATTCAATTGAAGAGTTATAGGTGAAAGAAATTGGTCACGTTTTCAGATAAAATCACTTGTAATTTGACACCTGATGACGTAATCATGACGTCAGAGTAATATGCACCACTTCGGATGAGGGTCGATATATAGTGAAAGTTACAAGTTCATACCACATACCGTTTAGGAAAAAACCCGCGGAGAAGTATTGTCCAGAAAAAAAGAAAGAAAGAAAGAAAGATTAATCGTAACAACTCCAAAGAGTGGTCGGGTTGTGCCCGACCACTCAAATACCACTGGCAATATTTGCGATCATGACTCCGTGTGTCCAAACATATACCGTGTAGTTAAAAAAAAAGGAGTACCAACTGGTACATAAATAACCCATATCCTTTCGCCAAGGCCATCGTGGCGTTAAACTTTTCAACCGGCATATATATTACACGGAGCAGCAAAAACGCGAAGCGACTGGAGCGGAGAACACATGCGCGAGTGGAGAAGCGGGGAGGCCTTTTCAAACTCGTCAGGAATTTCTTATGTTTTTCTTTATTTTCTCGATTTTTGCTACCCTAAAAGAGTAGCTAAATTCCAACCAATCATTAGCCTTTTAGGGCGCGCTGAACTACTATCCGGACGCCCTATGCGTGCGCGCCCCGGATGCTGGATCAAAATTTTTAACCAAAAAGCGAGTCTAGTTCTCCACGAGAATGTGACGGCGTAATTGTTCTTTCATTGTCTTATCCACGCCTGACAGTGAGGCGGAATACATAAGTCCGATGCCTCATTTCCGACGCCTCATAATTCCGAAATGACGGACTTATGAGGCGTCGGAGCTATACACTGTTATTTCGGTTGTGTACTATATGAACCTAGCAAAAAATGAACAACTTGTGTAATATTTTACGCAAGTTGTGTAAACAACTGTTTACGCAACTGGTTGCTAGGTTCATATAGTACACAACCGTTTGATTTTTACACAACTGAAATAACAGTGTAAGGCGTCGGACTTACGATACGACCCCCCGTGAACACTGTTCGTGGGTCACTCGAGAACGGGGTTTCGAATATGCCCCAAGTTACAGTAATTATACAAGAACAATACATGTTTGCATCATGAACAACGCTCTCATGGTCCAGAGTTACCTCCCTACACCACCCTTTCGTCGAAGATTCAATAACCAAATGGGAAATTAAAAGAAATTAAAATTGCCGTGAACCTCGGCCCTCCACCAAAATGGATTTCACGTTCAGTGCTGTTGTTCTTTTATGTTTACTTCGTTTGTTAGTTTGTTTCCCACGAAAGAAGATGCATGCCTTCCCGTTGTCAATTTGTGTACCAGCTCGTGCTCTTTTTTTTTTTAATTCCTGGTGCAATTATCGTCTGGTTGCTAAACTGAACAGGGCAATCAACGCCTTTATTTGACCATTCTTGTCACTTTTCCCCATTCCGCGGTGATGCTGTGCAACTCATGCACGAATCGTGAGAAAAACCAAACTAGCATTGCGCCTTTGTCGCGACAGGGCCGTGCTGGGGCGGCAAATCCTGGAGGACTTCTCCACCATCAAGGCGCCAAATCTGCATGAAGAGCCGGCTAAATGATTGATGTAGATGAGCCTTGGTCAGCTTGTAATTTGCTAGGACGAGCTTCAGCTTTTTATGTTTTGTTTCAAGACTCATTCCTGTTGACGAGACGAGAGGGAAACCTATCAAATGCAGTGGACTCGTCATTTTCAGCCTACCACGGCGGCGTGATGTTAGGGACTCATTAGAGGCTTGCAAACGCCTCTGCCAACGTAAATGGATGATTTCTTTTCCCTCATTAATGCTGTATTTTTACAAGACCCAGCCTAGAAATTAAAAAAGAAACAGAGACAGAAACACTCAATCCTTGAAATACCTTGCATTTTACCGTGTTCTTTCGGACCAGATGATAATAGCAACATTTTAAACTTCAAATATGAAACATCATGAGTTACCACATTGCCCTTTATGTTCTTATTATGCATAAAAAATATTTCACGGAACCAAAACTTGTTTGAATGTTTAGAATCACGTGGAAC